TCGATAAAAACCATCATAAATTGCGTTTTTTATGTTTTAATTTATTAATTTATTTTAAGTCTTTACAGGTTTTCCTAGATACAAAATTATGACTATAGATTAAAACAAAAAAAGTTATCGATACACATTAAAATTGCGTTCGGCAATTATTTTAAAAAAATACATCCTTACAAATAAGAACAATATTGGGGCAAATAAGGTTAACAATATTTTCAAAGTTGTTGAAGACACCTGTCGAATTCGGACATTGGAAAATATTTTATAATCTCATGAGGGTGTAAAAAGGTATGAGAAAATGTTCTGCAATTTGCCGTCTCACATAAAGTAGTAATTGTCAAGAACGGTTTCTCATCATCTTTATACTGTAATAGTTTAGTGTTTCTATAAAAAAATCAGTCTAGCTGTTAAATAGCTGCAATCATCGGTCTAGACGCAATAAAAAAAATCCCATCATAACAAACCGATACTTTTTCATATGGCTCGCAAAACAGAAATACTCAACGGAATATTGTTTGAGCGATTCTGATGACAAGGGGATGTTGTTGTTAGGTGTAATCAGTAATGAGGAAGGAAGGTAGAGACAAAACCGGTAACGGGAAATTCACTCTCACAGGTGGGTCAGTGGACCAAGCTGCTGGTTATTATTTTATATAGTAGGCCGGGGGCCGTGTGCAGGAGTAGGTATAATGTGATAAGTGGCACATCCTTCTCGTGTGAAACGACAACGACAACGATATGTTTGGCCATAGCTCGCGAGGGAACGTGACCCTGGTGTTGTTAACATTTATTATTTTTAGTATTATTATTATTATTATTAGTATTAGTAGTAGTAGTAGTAGTACTTACAAGATGGCATTGTTTATTATTTTGCATCGTGAACATTAAATAAAAAATGTAAAAAAAAAACAAAGCTTTAATTCTAAAAATTCCCATGTTACATTTTCGACTAATGTTTACGGTAAATTATTATCATATACATAATAATATATTATAATACACGCCATAGAAACTCATTAAAATAGCTGTTATCTTAGTGCTATCGTAACGTGCTCCGTTACCGTTGACGGACGAGATTAATTATTAAAAACGCTTCGTATTTTATTTTACCTTAGTATCCATCAAGTGTTTCGAAACGTTATTTTTCAACGGAACACTATTATATTACTATATACATTAGCTACAACTAAACCGAATTAGTACATTCAGTAAACAAGTTCACTGGCGTTTAAATCACTGCTGATAATCACATTTTACTTACATTTTTAGCTTATTCGTTTTAATGTGTTATTTTGTTTGTCGTAAAAACCGTAAAATATATTTACAATGCTATAATTTCCTTTTTTATTTTGGTTAAATAGGTTTTAACACTTGATAGAAATTGATTAAATTGTTGAAATTGTTTACAATGATAATAGGCCTATTTAAACTAAAATTTCAACTACATTGTAGTATGATTCCTGATTGATAAACATTATTAATGTTGTATGTTGGCGGTTCTGTTTTAATTTGGTTGCTCGAGTTAATGTTTAAATACAACATTATAGAAAAAAATCATAGCTGATGAAGGTATTCGCGTCGCATAAAAGTCAATACTATATTGTAGTAATTTGCAATTCTTAATGATTTACACCTTTAAAGTCAAATGTAAAATATATTAAATTTCCTATACATCACGCTGATTATGTAACGATAATTTCACTTGATAACACACTGTCCACTTTTTCAACTTCAGGAAAATAATTAAACTTCTTGTCGTGTGTGAGATGTACGCAGTTATATTATACATATTTTTACCATACATCATTATGATATGTAATAACATTAATTCGGCGGATGAGACACGAGGCTGTATACTGAGTTTTATAACTGAAATAGGCAAAACTTCCACGATGAAAACAAAAAAAAACAATAGTTGGACTCAAATTCATAAATTATACCTACTATAAAAAAGTTCAGGACTTAAACAACTCTGTTTAATAAAAATATATAGAATACATATGATATATGTACAATTTATGGTAATTATAACATTATTCATACTTGGTGCTCTGAACTACAAAGTTCAGACTTATGTAAAGCTACAGAGCTTTGAATAAGTTAGTGATCAGTGTTGGTTGCAGAGCGGGTTGAGACCAGTAAATATAATGTAAAGTTTTCTATACTTGATTGAATGATGTTTATATTATGTTTATTTCATTTATATAAATTAAGGGATCTACTTAATTTTATTGTAAAAAAAGTCTCGAGTCTCGCTTGACTTGAAATTATTTTCTTCTGTCCAGTGTAATCCGGACTAAGATTTCTACTTACAATAGATTGTTTCTGTTTCACCACAAACATCAAACGTCCTAACGGGTTGTTGGATAAACAAAAATGTACGTCACGCCTTTGTTACTTAAAAAAAAGATTTGATGTGTACATTTTATAATAACAACGAGTTGGATTGCGATTTTCCATTCAAATTTACCCTATGGAGATATCCTTTCGATATCTGATGGCATTAGAAAGTTGCAAGGGGAAAGCTTTGACATTAGATGTATAATAAATTCTGCTCATACAAATACCTCCTCCTTATTACTTCCTGTATCCGTGAATTGCGTATCGCTTTAAAAAAAAAAACCATTTGTGCTCGTGAGTTAAAAAAAGCGTCTGAGATGATTATGCAGTTTGAGAATAAATGTCTTACAGGCAATGTCCGTTAATTATAGAAGTTTGCATTATTACACGGTTTATTGCGTTGCTTGAAGTAGGCGCGGGTACAACAATACTAATTTGTATTATTACAAGTATTTGTTTCTTGTAAAAAGGACTTTACAGTGAAAATACTACAAAATCTATATAGAAGAATATAAAAAGAGTAGAATTGAATTTGTTTTATACGGATAAAGTGCTAAAAAGAAAAAAAACAATGAGACAGTTGATTAAATAAAAAATTTCATTGGAAATAAGGTTCAACAAATTTAGACTCTTATACGAGTAATTAACTTAAGTTTGATGATGAAACTCATAAAGCGTCGACCCTGAACTAGCTATTCAGTGTTATTTGATTTTCATTAGAAGCCGCTGATCATTTCTCGTTGACTAACCGCAGATTCATAATCTATGGCTAATAACGCATTACCAGTGACAAAACCACACCCGGGTAGCCATTATTATCGTGGATAGCTATTCTCCGGTATGGTATAATTATATTTTCACTGCTCGTTGACTTAACAAAACGACAAAATAATGCGTTTAATACTTACTTGTGACTTTCAATATGGATTTTTTTAATAGAAGTTTGATCGAAGTGAATTTAAATCCGTAACAACTGTTGTGTTAACCACTCCCGAACGTTACCTCCAACATCCGACCTTAGCACAAATATAAAAATAAATTAGAACTTTTGTTATAACGGAATTTTATCATTTTTATATAATTTTTATAACAGTTTAAACTGTTATCGGCCATTAATCAAAATATAATTGAAATTTGAAAACTTGTTTACAACAACACTTGGTCGCGTTAAGTTGTTAATTACACTTGATCGTACGAGTGTATTTTTTTTTTTAATTGATCGCAGATTTTAATTATTTATTCAGTTTTACTATAATTTAATACACTTCTTTAGTATACTGCTTTTTCTGAACAAGCTCAGCCTCACGATTTCTATACATTTCTCTTATCGACGAAAACCCTATTGAAACAATACATCAAAGATAATCATTAGTCGTTTTCGCATGATAGAATCCAAACGAACATTAATATAAATTATCTTGTCGTCTAATTTATTTATTTTCCTACTATATATATTTTTTTTTACGCTGTTTAGCTGTCTGATGACATTCGAGATAACACTTTTTGGTTATATATTTAATGATCCTATAATATCCATACTTTTCTAGTCGCTTTCTGGTCTTAAATATTTTAATTAACTAATATTTTTTACTTAACCTTCGAATTTCTTGTGCGGTATACTAGTGTGGTATTCTGATGTGGTGTACTTTTTTTATAAACATTTACACAAAAAAGTGTTAATAATTATTATTTGTAAGTGCCCTAAAACAATTTATTTTTCTATGATATATTGATATAAGTTCAAATATTTTTCTTACGCACATATTATAACTAAAATATGAACTAATTATTACCGACTTAATATTGGAACAAATTATTATTTGTAATTATTAAATAAAATAACAAGCAAATTGGTAACATTTGTAAATACGATAATTGTTAATACATATTGTTAATACGAGGTAATATAAATTCAAAAAACTTGTTTTTATTTTTCAATTACTATACTACATTTGATGTTAAGATAACATTAAATAGTAATTTATGCAAATTGCCATTGCTTACAAACTGATTTATTTTAAATAAAATTAATTCGTTTCAATCTAGAGAATACTTAGGTTGTTCACAGTGTCGGATCTTGGAAAAACAAAATTTCATAGCCCACGTCTAAAATTAGAAGTAATAATGCCGCCGCTGTGCATCAAAACTTTTTATGTTTTTTTCCCACTATATTTTCTTAGACCTAGGTGTACAATTTAAACAAATTGTAATTTTGTTTTTCAAGTATCATAATTAGAGTCTATTAACTGGTCTTCGTAAATGTAAATGTCATTTTAATATTCGTTGGCACGTAGTCAAGTGTCATTACAATACTTGTACATTTTTGTTTGTATGAAAACAAACAAATATTACATTGACCGAGCGTCTAATTTACATAATTAAATTCTACTTTTCTAATAATACGGTAGTCGGTACACGATGGAGTCAAAATATTAAGGAAAATACCGTTGGTAAAAAAACATGTCAATCATCTTAGGCAGCGTAAAGTCTGTGTTGCACGTGCCGTTTTCTATTTTGTGTAACTGTTATATTGTGTACTTCAATAAAAATGTAAAATATTTATACTAGAATACATTATTTAAATTACAAAAAATTAATCGTAATGGATATATTACACATAAACAATAACATGTATTAATGCTATTGGTTTTTTTTGTTTGCAGATGATCAAGGAGTCTGTCGGGGAACTATCTTCTTCGAGTAAAAACTCAAGTCGAGTCAAAGACCTGGTGAGTGGTATTCTATTTTCTAATCTATCTATCAATCTATCTATTATATAAGGCTATCGAATCAGATTAAGCCTCGCATTCACGCTTCCGGTGATTTTTTTATTTTATTTAAAACAAAACATATTTTCTTACACGCGATCAATTCGTTACAATTGATAACGTATAACGCTTAAAGGGTTTGTTTCATATATAAAAATAAAACAGGTTCATCGGCGCCGCACACAATCGGTCCATAACTAATTCAGAGCTTTCAGAGTCATTGTAAATAAAACGTTGAGTACAGCTTTAGACTGTTTTGTAATTTCTTTTATAATTAGTTGTTTTAGAAATCATTGTTGAAAATAAACAATAACTAATATTATGAAAAAAAAATTACACGTTTGATTGTCGGTACCCATACGGCCTATACTTACTATTATAATTGAATCTCAATTGTTTAGGCGTTGAGCTGTTAACGTAGCTAGAGGTAAAACGTTAGTGAAATTATAAAGAAAAACCAACTTGACTAATTGATTCGATAAAATATGAAAACGGAGTTGCTTCTAACGAGATGTACCACCATTATTCGTGTCTAAAAGTTTAGAATGTAATTTTTCTTAATCACGTTATGTAATTTTATTTTTAACGCCATCGACATAATACGATAGAAAGCATTTTGTATAATATATTTTTTTACTCTCCCGCATTGAAAAAAATATATAATTTAAAAATGCCAAGTCATATTTATTACTCTAGCGATAATGTGGGGTTAATTTTCAACGAAAGTAAAGGTATTTTTTTTTATTTGACCGTCGATTAAAAACGTTTGGTGAATCGAGACTAGATTAACATGAAGATAGTTTGATAAATAACCGTGTGTTATGTATAGATAACTTTTAAATACAAAACATAACAATGTACAATATAATATATACTGCGGTAAGGTGAAGGTTATGGCCAATGATTGCTTTGAAAACCATTAGCGTCGATATAAGTTCAAGAATGTGTATGCTGGTATGCTTAAGTAATAATGTATATATATATATATAACGTATAACTATAGCGATAATGATAATGATAAAAAAGGTACCTTATACTTGCCGAACAGTCTGAAGCTACTTTCTCTGAACATTCAGTAAGTATACTTTCACTGGTCCACTGGCTGTCGCACATGCACAAACGGTTTAATAACAATAATGCAATTATGACAACTTTACCCGGAGGCTCTTGCGGACGAACCGGTTACGTTAAAACTTACGGTTCGCTATTAAATATAAATAAACCACGAAGAAAATATTAATTTGAACATAATAATTATTAAATTCGGATACAGCGATTGGGGAGTTCATTCAACTGCAATAGCCGTACGCATCATTCTACCGTTAGATATTTTTAACAAACCAAAATATTAGACACACGTGGAATTACTAATCTAGTCCTACCTTTACCAAAACGTATACAGAAAGTGTATGAGCGTACAATATAAGGAATTATTATAATAACAAACGGTCGTATGTTTAATAACTTATGAGGTGAAAATCATTCCGACACCGTTGGAATGGCAAAATAACATCATTCATTGATTATAAATGTGTTGTAATCAATACTGTCATTCTCCCTACTATATTACACAGGAATATATTATACAGGAACCATAGGTGAGGTTAGGTGTCACGATGATCTAACGAATTTCCATTTACGTCCTATGGAATTCTGACGGGTCATTGTAATATATACCAGATACTTAACCAATATATGTTTTGCCCATAAAGCTTCATACTGTTTACTTATGTTTAAATAAGTCGTTCCGAAAAGGGTCAAAGACTCAAAAGTACAAAAAATAAATACTATATTACTTACAATATAAATTGTTGTTTACAAATTAATTGTCGATATTGATTTTTTACTTTTATCTAACTATTCAAATCTAATTTAACTCTTTTCGACATGACCAATTGAGCTAATGTCGTTCCACAATTAATTGGTAATATTATTAAAGTTCGTATATCCTTATACTTTATGTAATACCTTCTAAATTTTTACATTTCAAATAGTAATATTATAGGTACCAGATGAGTGATGTGTGTAAAATATTAATAATAAGTGAGAGAGATATTCGGATACATAATGCCTATGTCGCTGGTTAAACCACGCGCCTGCGTAGTCGCTTGACCATATCAGTATTACGTTAATTTAGAAAACTTTACTCACATCTGTTTAGGTTTCACGTGAAGAAAATTTATTTTTATACTCTATAGTTCATAGTTTCATTATAATGCCTACGGCTATAATTTGAATAATTAATGAAAAACGACCTAAGAACCTTTTAACCATATAATTATTTAACCATTGGAAATATTTAATTTTTAGTTTTTTTAGTATTTTATTGATATTTTGAGTATATGTTTATTGTGTCCTCGTTATGTAATGGTAGTTTCCTAAACTAATTATATTCCCTGTTAATATGTATACTTATATACTTTACCTGATGTTTGTTGTTAAAACGTTATTGTATATTGAAACAGTTAATAGGGAGAATGTGTTTTACGGGTGTAGGAGTAACTTTCGAAACGACGGGAGTTCATTGTTCAAGTACTCAAAGAGCTAATAGTCAGTTAAATGTAGTATTTAGATCTATTAAAAGAAGTTAAAGGTTAACACGTCTAAATTAGGATACTAGCTAAATAATTAATCACTAACGATTGAACAAATATAATAATACAAATAATTAAAAAGACATAACTTTTGTATCATTTCTCATTACGAACCTTTAAAAAATTACAAAGAAATATTAGTCAACAACAAAGTAAACCTTTCTAATGTTAAAAAAATGACAATTAAATTTTAAAATAATAGTTCAACATTTAAAAGAACGTTTAAATTGTTAACGTGATATAAAATTATTGCATTATAAATTATTAGGCTTTAAAAGCCTAGATTTTTGGAGATCAGTCTGCCGTCTTTGATTTTTTTTTTAGGTAATAAAAACCGTGTTTCCTTTCACTTCGTTGTCGTGTTATTTTTTATTATAAAATGTATCATAATAACATAAATATTAATTAAGTGAATTTTTGGATTTAAGTAAAATTAAAACATTTCTTGTGTAAGAACTTGAAAGCTAAATATTGTAGTCAAAGAAAATGTCACTCATTTTGGAAAAGTACTTGAATACTAGTTATGATTTTTTTAGTACCAAGTAGAGTTAAAACATAATTTTAGTATTAAATGAGTAATAATATTTTATTCGTAATTGTTTAGTAGTGAGAATCTTCAAAACGTAATATTTATTTTAATTTAATACATACAACTTGTTATAATTTGTCCAGCTAATCTTATTGATTGTTATTTAAGTGATCTGTGATTATTAAAAAAATGAATAGCTCTTCTAACTATCGGTAATTTTACAGCGGGGACTGTAATAAATAATTTATTTTGTTTATTTGAAAAAAGTGTTAATTGACCATTTGTTATAGATAATTTTAATGCATAGTGCACAGTTTTGGTAAATTATATTTGTTTAAAAAAATTGTGTTATACACAGTAATAGAATCATAGAGTCTTTAAACCTTATGTACGAATTACGAAGTCAAATGATCAAATTGTTTACTGCTATGTTTTAAGTTATTTAAATGCATGGAATACATTTTTGTTGTAAATTTTTAAACGTTGCCGCTGCAAAATTACAAAACGTACCTATAAAATATGTCATCTATTTCACCTCTTATAAAGATGCACATTCGATTCAGGTACACCACGTTCTTATTATAGCCAAATTAGCAATGGTTTTACTTAGACATGCACGCGGTTAATTGCAAATAAATTAACTATTCGAGACAAATTTTTTAACGGCGCGATTCTAAATATTTTATAATATATTATTATAGCCATACAGAGCTTGTGTAGCTTAATCTACTTAATGTGCCCATAACTAGAACTATTAGACCGAACAATGATCAACGTCAGGTTCTCGACTTCGAATTAAAACCACGAGTGTGTGTTTAGCCGAATGCGACTGGGTCAGGTCGTTAAATGCTGTTTGTCGTTACATCATACAAAAAATTACTATCGTTGCGAAAACGATATCAAATTTCAAACGGCCGCTGTGATGTGCTTTAATGAAAATCCTGAAATACTAGTATTTTTTATTATATCCGTATTCTGTACAGATACTCTTCGCGTGGTATTTTTGAAGGTATACATATAATATTTGTATGTTATGTTTAATTCAAAATCATTGCATTGCCATTACATTATGCACGTGACTGCACATAAATAGTAAATATTATATGTATATAACGTTGTATTATAATATATAGGTATATAATATAAATAAACGCGTGGTCACGCGCTTAATAGTTATGTCCAATTCATAATATGACCTGATGGTAATTTTAAAAGTCGATTGTGAAGCGCCTGAATCGTGCGATTCTTCAACTCAATAAAACTGCATAAAAAAAACGATCACATAATCACGATATTATTCCAGCGCTGTCGAGTTTATTGCTTTTCTGTCCTGTTATTGGCTGACAAGTGTAATAATAATATTGTTTAGAATGATACAATCACGAACGATAACTTGCGTATCATATACGACTCGGATCTGACTGGAGAGTTATTTAAATTTGATGATGTACGTTTATAATAATGTTTTTTTTCTAATAATTCGAAATAAAAACCTTTTTTTTTTTTATATAGAACCAATGAGGGGGGACTGTTGATCACATGACTTCACCTGAGTTAAAACCTTAAAATTACTAACACACATGTTAAACATCGCTGTGTTGATCATTTACAATAATTAGGGAACCCGGTAAACTCTTCGAGCTGCGAATAATCAAGTATGATATTAGTTATAAGTCGTTATATATTGTAAAAGGATTTACATTTTTTAAGAATTTTCGGAAGTTATATTTTAAGTAAATGTAAGTTTAGGTTTTTATTTTTTAAATTATATTCTACGTCTCGGTAAATTTTGAACCCGACAGTTATTTTCAAACTATCAAAATTCAATTTCGAACAGTTTATTGTCGAGTCATGTTTTAATATTAATAACCAAAAATAATATCCGTTTAAGTCTCTCATTAGAAATGCGTATTGATAGCTTACATATACTACACAATTTGCGATGATATATTGTTTTACAAGTATATTTACAACTTTGGTCTCTTTCACTTGATTTCACTCAAAGCGCAGGCACGTTACCGTCCATTTATCATAATGTAGGTGTAGCGCTTAAGCGTTAAGACTTAACGGATTTCCTGTGGCGTAGTGTAATATAGAGGAGTGTAGTCTGCCTGACTAATTCGTCAATTTCAAATATGACTCATCTTTGTCTACGAGAACTCATATTAAAGCAGCTATATATATATATATTGTGTAGTATGTACCATTTTAGACGTTGCGTTGGACCTGAACCAGTGCTACTTTCGTCGAATCGGTCACCCACCCAACGATAAACGTGCGAAATACTTATAATCCATGCGGTTAAATGTAAATGTATAAAGATAAATGTCATATTACACTAATTAGTTGCGCGATTATTCCTAACACGTCGACTGTTAGTATAATGGTGGGCGATATAAGCCAATATACAAGTTGTACAAACGGGCCAAAATAAAAATAAAAATAATATAATTAAAAAATGAACAATTAACGTTATACCGAGTATAACTACTATACCGACTGTCTACTTTCGATTTTTACTGCGTAACTTACTTATTATACGGTACACTACCTATATAGCAGTATTAGGCTTTAAGTACATTCATTAATTCAGATTTCATTGATGCCATTCAACATCTCAGAAGTTGTCGATCCAAATCCAGCAAATACACACCTAAAACACTACAATTTTTAGAAATTACTGGATTAGACAAACAAACAAAAAACAATAATTGTATGTTTAAATTCTTCGTTCTGTACGCGTTGTAAATACTTATACTTTTGTAAACACTAATTACCAAAATAGTTATGGTAATTTGTAGCCAATGTCATTAGTTGCCACTGCTTTGTGTAATAATAATAATTTAAAAAAATATATTTAGCTTAATAATTAAATATGTATGTAGTTTAGATAAATTATGTCCGTTTGTCGTTGCTTGTTACCACAAAATAAAGTATTTACTTTCTTTAATCAAAGGAAATGACGTGCAAGTTTCGAATAAAATTCCACTTTAACGAATACGCTATAACGTCACAAAAGAAAATTCGATTTAACGAGAGATTATTTAATGTTTAATAATAATAATAAGACATCGATCCATTTTAAGCTAACGCGTTCACTAAAATCACGACGATTACATAATGTACGTTATGTACACTTTTGGACGCTGTTGTGGTTAAATGTGAGTTGATTGACCGTTGCCACCAGGTGTTGTAATTAATTAGTACATTATATAGATCCAATTTGTCTGCGTTCAAACCTCAACTCGACAAAGGGCTGAGCGGTAAAACGTGATCTCGACCGAACGATGTGAAAGTATAGGTTTATGTGTGTATGTGTGTATATAGTGTGTACCTGTGTCTGATACAGCAACTGGTTTGGGGCGCCCGCGACATCACGATACATGAAACGCACAATATTTGGCGGGATCACGACAAGCATACATAGAATATAGCGCGTACAAAAAAAAAAAAATTCTATTAATTAAGGTGAAAATTAAAAAATAAATTATAATCCTTAACGAGCGAAATTGGAAAGAAAACGAAAGTAACCAACTGCAAAATAATCGAAGAAGCCATTGTTATTATTGTAATAATTGGATTATTATAACGGTAAAATATTTGGCTTGCTAATGTAATAATATATTGGTTTTATTTTTTACAGATAAAAAAACTCAACGAAGGTTCCCAAGAGTTGTCGAAATGCAACGGTCAAACCGGTAACACCAAGGTAAGTTAATAACCCCGAGAATCAACATTAACATCGGTCGTTTTCAACTATTTTTACATGTCAGTTGTCACCACCTTTCCATCCCCACTACTAGGGGTGCGAGGGTAGTCGTATGTGTACAAAGTTTGGTTAAAACTACTCTAGGCGTTCCAGAGTTATGCTTGAACATACACACATACATTCATTAACAAAATTGTCGGCTAGGTACTAATATTGTGGTAAAAAAATAAAATAAAAACCTTACGGGATCGAGAAAGTTGTGTGAATATATTTTATTATTGCGAACGATTTAAGTAGGCACAGCTTATGGATCTCCCAAAGCGTCGGATGATAACAGTAATAATAATAATTTCGCAGAGATGTGTTTTTGCATATTATCATTGTGCTTGAGCTATAAATACATACTTAACCATATAAAAGCAGGACGCAGCGGCGAATAATACTGCTGCAGTACTCGGACATTACAATATGCCGGTGCCGGGTCACACTTACATGTTTTTTTTCTCATCGATTTCCACTCAACATTTATGGTTGTGGCGGTCAATATATAAATATATATGTATGTATTGTTATTACTATGTTCGTGTACTTAATATGTGCACTGTAAACAATAATAGTAAATATGTTATATACGCGTAACGGATGTTTTACTATTATCATTACACACATTAATACACATCTTTCGAAAAAGGCTTTCTCCCAGCGTGCTCGTCCGATGTACCTGTTGCGGTATACTTCTACTTGCCAACACGAAAGCACATTTTAATTTAATTCCATGCCGGCGGTGTAAATAGTAGAAGACAAACTCGTGATTCCTTGCAAAAAAAAAAAACCACTCCACATAATTTGCTATTATCGTGTAGTAGATACTGATGTTGTTTTTTTTTTATTCTGATGTATTGTTTCTACACCGTGTACCATGTGCACGTAATGGCGGTTTGCCGGTTCTTACTTCCCCCCTCTCTACATTAGGCATCTTAAAGTGAATATCCGTTTCCCGGATTTCTATAGCGTTAACCCATCTTTGGATTTGAAGTTTTCACTTCCTCGGGTTATCGTTATAGCATACATTATAGTTCGCACACGCATACTCTACTTACATATTATGTATGTGGAGCGCATAATAATATTGTTGCAACATTATCGAAGGATAATAACTGAAAGTATAAATCATAATAGATTTCATTCGAAAAATAATGTTTCGGTTTTACTTTTAACGGAAGCGTTACGAGATAATACAAACATACTTTATTGTGATGAAATATTTATTTAGGCGTTTTTACACGCATACACACACAATCAAATAGTTAGAACCCACGAAAAGTAGGTTATGTAGGAGCCTATTTGGTTTTTCATTAAAAGCACCTAAGTGTTGCGGCGTGGGCATTGTGGCATTGTTTATGTTTTTAATGATTTTATTATAGGTTGTTATATTATTATCAAGTGCAACGGCAAATAAGGAAGCACCTAAAACTCGTATCGCATATTAGCATACAATTTCTTTTTGACTTCTATTCATTTTTATTACGCTTGTGAAAGAGTGGACGATATAAAGGTGCGACTAAAATTCTTCAATGGTCACTTTTAGGCCTAACCTTCTTTCATTCAGTTCGCCCAATTTGGTGACGACAATATAAGAAATGGAGGGAGCGAATGAAAAAAGCTTTGTATTTATTGAGTCGAGAATTTTTGATATGTTATGGCACAAGGAAATGAAAGATAAATAAACAAGCAAATTATGCATAGTTGAAATTTCATCTTAAAGAAGAAAAAAAATCTGTTTTCTATGTCAACACAAAAATATATTATAAGAATAATTGAAAAACAATTAATTATAATGGGAAAACAAATATGTGAAATGTGTATAGAGTGATGGCGATAAAAAGAAAGTATCAAGTTTCAAGTGTAAACATAAACAAATATTACTAAAATGATTGAACCAACTTGACTGCAATTAGACGGGTGAAATAAAACGTTAAAATATCTTATTCAGTTTTATATGGTTAAATAAGCATGTTTCTAACATTGTTTAACTATCTCAAAGTTTGTTTATCAAAATGATCTTAAGATGTTATTGATGATAATATCAATAATTATAAGTTCATAAATGATATACTATGATTACTACTAAGGTATGAAATTAACGTTTTGTAGGCGGTTTTTATTAAAATTGTGAATGGATTCAACGTTTATGTTACTATATTATTAAACGTATATTTCTATGAAATAAATTATAGAAAATAAAATGCTTATGTTAGAGAAAGTTAGGAAAGGCGCAGTTCTTTTACATAAAAAATGTATTATTCAGGGGAACATTTTTTTAATTGAATGCATAACATATAAGTCGTAAAAATATCATTGCGAACTTATGAATTATGTGAGATCGAATAAATTAAAGCGATATTAGGTCAAATATCATAATTTATTCCGGATAATATTGAATAATTAATTAAGTTAATTACATCTTAAAGTTCAAAAACTCGAAATCGTTCACTTGAAACCGATAAATATTGTATAAGGTCACAAAATTTGATTAAGTTGACAGTAGTAAGGACTACTTGGTTAGGTTTCTACCTGAAATAATTGTATGCCCAATGAAATCAGACAAGTCAATAATAACTAATAAACCATTAGTTTAATATTGTTGGAAAACGAGTAAATTAGAACTAGTTATTTCTTTATCGTGGAAAAAAAATTTGCCCTTTTGAGAACTATTTTTTTTTTATACAAATAGAACGATAATTATCCAGAGATGTATTTATGTATTTATCAAAATCCACTGACCGAATCACCGACAATAAAGTACATTTCCTGTGACCTCTTGTAACGAGAAATTGTTTTAGTGTAATTAACGTTAATTTGTACAGCGAACCAACTCCCTATAATTGCTTGTGTTATTTACCAATGATCATTAAATAGTTTTTATTTTTTGGTTCGCAGGTCGCGAACGCGTTAACGAATTCATCTAAAAAAACAGCAACTCAAGATGTTTTGGACGTTCGGAAAAAGTCCACTGACGCGGCCAACCGCATAGGAGGAATCATAGTGGATTTGGACGTCACAGATAAGGAGAATAAATTACCCCAGGTAATATGGTTTTTGAATAAATGACATAACTTCAGATTACAACAATTCCGTTATCTATATACCTATGTTAAAGCAGCTAAGATTAATATTCTATAAGAATAAACAATTCCTTTATAACCAGAGCGTTATACTGGTAATATGCCACCAAGCGAAAACAATCAACAATGCGGTTGCGAAAACCCGTTTGCTTATTATGATAATGTTCATTTTCAGATTGTCGACTTGGAAACAATGTATTCGTTGTTGGCCGAGAAACATTCGGAGCTGTTGTGCGCTTACAATGGCATGCAAGTGCAACAGCTCAAAGATTCGACACTACGCAAAGACAAACGAGAAATCCAACGTTTGACGAAAACCAACAATGACCTCTTGTCCGAAATCAATAAACTTCAGACACAACTCAAAGAATCCGTCGAGCACAACGAATTGCTGGAATTTAGACTTCTCGAACTGGAAGACACTGAGACCACAAACAAGGTACGTTGAAGATAAATCTAATGTATGATACCATATTATGTAAGGCCATATTAGTATTGTCAACCAATCAAACTTTAAATCATTGTACGTGTTGCAGCTAAAAAGCCAAAACCGCGAAACTGTCGAAGACATGAGCGACTCCGGCGTCATGTCATTGACTACGAGCGATGATTATTGCAGCGAAGGCGATCAACAAGAATACGATCTGGTAAGTGTCTTTGGAAAATAAAAATCGTTAAAAATAAATTGCGACAAAAACAAGAACGACACAGCAAGATAATAGGTCATTGAAAACAAGGACATTTTGCTGAGGGCTAAAAAATGTATGACAATGTCTAACAATTTAGCGTTAAAAACTATTGAATAGAAAAATAAATATACAGGTCTACAAAAATAAATAATTATATTAATACAAATATGGTATATCCTTGAAAAGTCGGAATACTCCCGATTTCCAACATTGGATGTTAATAGCGAACGAAGCTGGCGTCAATGAACACATAAAAGCCAAGTACAAAGGTGTACCTTGTTGGTATATTGCAATTTTTACATAAGCGGAGTATTATAATTGATTAGATCCATACAAATTCGTAGTCGAGTGTATTAATTTAAACCGCAGCAAAATGTATATTATGGATGTCGACGAAACAATTGAAGCCTAACAAAATGTAGTTAATTTGCACTGAATAATCGTTTGATATTCAATATACGGACCGTCGTACGAGATTCGAATATTGTACTGTGGCTAATTCGAAATCTTATTCACGCTGTTAGTGCCGTACACGTTTATCAGTGTGAATGTCAATTAGTGTCACACCGTAACGCCATAAAAAAAACGCATGGGTGTGCCCTCAAAAGAAAAAAAATCAACAAACCCTTTTGAATGTAAGTTTACGCTCCTACTAAAAAAAACACCATCATTCGTGTAGTTTGCTCATATGCTGATGTGCATGTGTGTATGTCAGAACATACGTGGCAAACACAATAGGTTAGACCTCGAGTGGTGTAATAAACGACACAATTCTGCCGCAATTACGACCTTGTCGCAGACGATTCTAAATTTGCACGGATGATTCGTGATCTGATTTAAAAGTCAATTATACCCACGATTATCGGTCTTTAATGGTTCAATTCTCGGTCCGTACGTTAGCGGTAGGCCTTATGAAAATATTTTTATGACGTCCATAACGCGCACGTGCGAGGCCACGACGGGTTTATCGGTGGTATTACCCCGGGGGGATGCGTCCGAAAGAGTCGAGTCGCATTTTATTTTTACATTTATTATGGTTAGAAATAGGTTAAAGCACACATATCTGGTTGGGTTTACAGTTTCGCTCAAATGTTTAACGGCCGAATCTAATTAAAGCGATCGTGTTTCAGGACATCCGACGATGCGACAACATCAAACAGCGGCTGATGGAAATGTGCAACAGCGTGTGTTACTGCGTGGAAGACCGGTCGACCATCCAACAAGTGCTGGGCCTGATCCGACATTTCGAGTGCCGACTAACCGAGGCCAACCACAACGACCGGCACAAACCACCGGTGTACGCGGACTGTCTTCAGGAGAGCGGTATTTTCGAGGAAGACGTCTTGTATCCGGAAGCCACGCAAACCGAACTACCTGCAGACAAAGCCGCCAACGAAGTACTACTATCAACCGACCTGACGGAAGAGCTCAGGAAGCTGTCGAGGATCCGCGAGAAAATCGAAGAACGCAAAGTGCCGTTAGTCGACGACCGCGCGGCAAAGGAGTTGTCGTTCTACAAGGACCGCTGGCAAGTGTTGGAGAAGAAGGTAGAAGCCTACGAAAGCGACGGCGACCGGAAGATAAGGCTTTTGGCCACGTCTATTGATAGAGAATCGAGACTGTCCAACGAATTGAAAAACGCTTACACCACGGTGGACAAACTGAAAGAACAGAATCGGCTGTTGGAAGAGGAAAAGTGCGAATTCGAAGAAGCCGAAAACGATACCCGACTCAGGTGCCAAAAGTAAGTCTCGGTTAATACACTTGCATGCACTGTGTGCCGCTCTAGGTGTGATTGTTCTTTTATTTATTGATAATTTGCGTTTTTAGGTTGGAAAGTAAGTTCTTGACGCTTGCGGAGAAGAAGAACTCGCTACAAGCTGAATTGGTGGAGAAATCCAAAGAAACGGAAAAACTGCGGCAAGAGTTGGCCGAGGTAGACGCGAAAAAATACGAAGCCCGCAAACACGCCGCCACGATGGAAGCGCTGGTCAACAAATACGAGCAGCGCAATTTCGAACTAGAAGAATCCCAAATGGAAACCAAGTGTAAACTGCAGTTGCTGGAAAACGCGTGGCCCGCCATAGTGTTGTGGAACATTTGGCGGGTGGTGTGCAAGCATTACCGCAAGTCTAAACCCGTCAAAGCGATCGAGCACAAGACGGGTCCGGAGTTGGTGGACGTGGACTATCTGGAAAAGTTGCGGATCATAACGAAGGAGAAAATGGATCTCGAAAAGCAGATACAAGACCTGCAACTCAAGGAGAACGTTTACCAGCAGACGCTGCAACAAGCCGACCATATACTGGCCAACGTCGAGGACGGGTACAAGCGACAAATTGACGAACTCAACTCAGAGTTGGCGGAAAAGCAAAAATTGTTGTTGGACCGCGAAAACCGGATGAGGATATCGGCCGACTCCCGAGACAGGGAGGCTGAGCTTCTAGACAGGGTGCACGGCTTGGAAACGGAAGTCCGGGATCTAACGCATAAAATCAAAACTAAAGACATTGAAAAACAGTCTTGGGCTCGCCGGGAAGCGCAACTCAGAAACGACATGGAGCAGCTCGTCAACGACGTGTGTCAAGTGAAGTCGGAAAATGGACAGCTTAAAACACTTTTGGACTGTGAGAAAATGAAACTAAGAGACCTCCAAAAGGACATCAGTTTCAAGCAGTCCGTGTACGCCGAAATGGAAGAGAAATCAAATTTAGAGGTTCGTATTACAGCCAAAATAATACATTTTATTCAGTTATTATAAAAAATAAAAACACGCTTGTCTCAAACGCCGTTTGTTTTTTTAGGCTAAAAGTTATCAAACAACCATTTTGAAATTATCAAAACAAATCGACGAGTACGACGTCACCAACGGAGAGCTTAAAGAAGAAGTAGAAACTCTCGAGGTGATATTAGTTATTAATAATATTATAATAAGGTCTTATTGACCTTTCCGGAATCGCCAAACTCAAATTATTTAAAATATAACTTAAATTAACAAATTAGATTAGACTTACGTCAATATTTTATTTGAAAAATGTGAAGTCAACATTTTTCCCGAGTAATGCTCAAAACTGCAACCATTAACGTAAGTAGAGAAGGGGCTAAGAAGGTTTAACCCTTATAAAAACTCTGAAAGCTTTCTCAGTATTTCAGTAAAAAGTATAAACCTTACTTGAGACTGTGTCTAATTGGTTGCTGACATTTTTATTGAGCTTGGACGAGTTTAGAAGGATTTGAACTTCCCCCACCCCGCCCCTCTATTTACGTCAATGACTGCAACATTAATTTATTTTTATTCTTTAAATACTAATATACTTAATACTGCAGGCACATGTCAAACACTTACGAAACGCGTTGGCCGAAGAGAAAGAAGCAAAAGAAAGCATGAACATTGAACTGAACCAAGAGCTATCACGAAAACAAGAAGTAATCGATGGTTTAGAGAGACACTTGTCGTACAGAGGATCAAAAAATGCCGCCGAGGAGCTTCTATGTGAAAACGTGAACGTAAGTATGCATAATATAATATACTGTATAGTATAATATACTCACATTTTAATAGTACTGTATAGAAAATCAACTCGTTCTTCAAACGGTGAATAGTTTTGTAATGATTAAATTATCAAGTCTGTTATTTCACGATTCGGTTTCTAAAATTAAAAACCAGTTACAAGCATTATCAAACTGGTACGAAACAAATTATAATTATAAAAAATAATTACTTAACCGATTTTATAGAAATTTTATTTAGCGGTCCTAATTATTACAGTGTTATTATTTAATTAATAATAATTTATGTAATAACTAATAAGAAACGTAATACCAGTCGAGTCATATCTGATGGTTGACTTTAATTCCGAAAAGGTTGATTAATTATAATTTGATCTTAAATGCTGATTAAATTTAGTGAGGTTTCACTTTTATTTCAAACCCGTAAACTCAAACATAATAATATGGAATTGCATTTTTTTTCTAATTGCCAAAGCGACAATATAAAAAACCGACGGCGGTCGGTATTTATTTTAATTAAAAACTTTTTGTTGAAAAACAATACTGGACTTTGAAAGCTTATTGTGGAACATTTTTTACGACGTTGAAATGTTTTTTACTACTTTCCTTTACAAAATATCACTTGTGTCCCTGTTCTTGGAAGATTGACGTCTTAACATCAGTAAAAAACAAGACAAATAATAAGGTTTTTTTTTTTTTTGTAATAGACAAATGTTGGGAAGCTGAACTTCGACGAAATTAATCTCTCTGACAATTTACTAAGTGCTTTGCAGTTTTCCAAGATAAAACAGCTGAAGGTAATTATACATTTGTGTGTCGTTTTTAACGTCTTTCCATAGCAACGTTTTTTTTTTTGTTTATCATGCAACTACAGAGCGGAAATATTTAGATTATAATAATTTTACAAAATGGCTTGTGACCAATTACAAAATTCGGTTATTACTGTTACTAGTATAATATATTATAAGTCAACAAATGATGTGTGTGCGTATTAGCTAGAGTATAATACCTAATGTTATTCGTTTCAGACTTGCGACGGTTGTGCTAAAAATGTCGAACCCAAATTACAAACATTATTCAATCAATTCGACAATATTATGACTATGGTGGACAGGACGAATAATACAACAGCCGGCGCTTGTTGTTCGCCCAGAAACGTCGAAGGTAAATAATAATTATACATAATATTTGATTAGACGATGATTTGTGAACGTCACGTGTAATAATAATGAAATGTCGTTTCTTTGATTTTTAGATTGTCCCAAATCGGAATGTCCGGTGAGTATTGAAATATGATAAAAACAAAATTATATAAATAATTACTCGATTTTTAAAATGATTTTCTACAGATGTCATCCAAATGTTCGGCGGCGGACAGGCTGACGGTTTGCGACCTTACCAAACAAGCGGTTATGCTCGAAGCGAAAAACGAGGAAAAGAATAAGATCATTATGATGTTGGCCGACGAACTGATTTACTTGGCGGAACGCGCCAAATGGGACAGACAGTGTGTGATAGCTCAAGGACTTAACTCGATTCCGTCTACGCGGTTTGCTCCGGACTTCAACTGCACAACCGTGGAGAAGTACTTGAACGGCCGGAACGTCAAGTCCGTACAAGATGGAAATGTGAGTGAATTTTCGGGGATTAGGGTGGTTAGGGAGGGAAAGCGTTTCAAAAAAAAATATATATATAATGGAAAACTGAAAAAAAAAATCGTTTTTCACCATTTTTGTCGTACTTAGATCGAAGACAACAAGTACCGGTGTTTGATCGGACCTGACAACCCGATTGGTCTACACGTTGTCAGACAGATTGGACCGGATGGCATCATTTTGGCGTGGAAGTCTCCCGCCCCGGACACCATCAGTTCGTTCCAGGTGGGTTTGGCGATCGACAGCCGACTGTACTTAAGTCGGTGAAACAAAATTAAATGGCATTTAGCTCAAGACTGGCGGCGCTGATACTGGGGCGTCATCAAATTTGAGTCGGGTACTTTGCTTAGGCACACTTTGCTCTAGCGCCGCCCTTGGTCAAAGCTTATTATCCTTCAACGGGATTGTGAGTGTTAATTTTTATGGTTTTTTTTTTCCTTAAAAGGTGTTCCTGAACGGCGAGTTGGTCCAGTCAATCCAGAATCCGGGACGCAGCACTACCCTGTTACACCCGGTCAACCTGCAGGAACCTATCACGATCACAATGAACGCTGTCAAGCAAGACGGCATTGCGTTCCCGCCAATCGCCATATGCCATCCGTACGGTGTTTAGTAGCCCAAATTTTTCTAGTCTTCAGCTATAATAATACCTATGTATCTGCGAATCGAAAAAAAAATTATTTTAATTTATATAATTGAATATTGTATCGCCGTAGGTGAATAATCAAAAATGTTTGTATTTTTTTATTATTATTATTATTATTTTATACCTACGTGTTACAAATACGTATTTTGTTATCGCGTCACGCGCTTAGGGAATATTGTATAACATTTATTTTATACGAACACATTTAATAATTTAAACTAAATAATAATTTGTGTTACGAGTTCTAACGAATTGACGAACGATAATGTGTTTTGTGTTATTAAAGGATGATTTTTACTGATGTTTTCGTTGACAGCTCGGTCAAAATATTCTTTTCAACGATATTTGAAAATAAAATTTAACTAAACTTGTAAAATATTTGTATTTATATACGACCCGGAGTCAAATGCAATGTAATGTTGTGATTCCCATTACAAAGAGCTAGCAGATTGGTTCATTATCTGCTATTAATAATACGTAGGTATGGACATAATATGGTAGTCTATCATTGAGAAACCAGTAAAACGCTGATTTGGTAGGGATTTTAAACTTGTTTTCAACTAAAAACTACATTTTAAAGTGCCATTAAAAACAGATGTGCCCAATAGGAAAACAATTTGTTGTTTCGGAGGTCAAAATCGCAGCCGGTTAAGTTCCAAACTTAAACATAAAAAAATAATCAATTACTTTGGCCGAGGACGTGTGTGTGACTCAGGTCACCTATAAAAACAATAATCAATTGTGAACCAAAAGAGTACTAAATTGAAATAACAAGACTATAAAATATTTTTATATGACGGCGAAAATAATTGTATGCTTTTTATTATTTGCTTGACGTGTACATTCGCATGTGTGATGGCATTGTGTACATTCTCAGAAGCACGTTTACGAGTATTGACCATACATCTACTTTGTTTTAGATTTTACAGTTCAAAAATAAAATACAAACGTTACAAGTAGCTGTTGACTCTGCAGAACTCCAAAACATATAATATTATCATTTATCTGCATATTCATTTAACTAGGTCGTGTTTTTAAATAAAAAAAAATAAAAATATATGCCCATAATATTTTTTATTTTATGCGTAGGTAATGTTGGAATATTTGTTTACGTTTAATTTTTCTTTTAAATAATTAAAAGTAGGTATTCGCCGTTTCAGCACACCAATAATTAGTAACAGACTGTTAGAATAACAACTAATAATTATCCATTTTAGTTATTAAAAAATAAATATAAAAATGTTAATCGTACTAAACTCAATGAAAAATGTGTGCAATATAACATTGTTACTGTTACAATATAATAATATACTATTATCGTAAAACTATATTACTTTTGCCATTATAGACTAAAGTCGCTGTAAAATTGAATAAAATATAGATAATAATATAGGTAACTAATATGAACTAATAATTACTGAACTGAACGTTTGTATTATAGTTATGGCTTGTAAGTATTTGAGTATGCTTACAAGGTTATATAATATTGAGATATTATGTCTAGTATTTATTAATCGTTATGGCCATTTTACAGAGAAATAGGTATTCCAATATTACCTACATCATATTAATATTTTTTTGTTTGATAACTACGATTATAATATAATATAGTATATATTATATAAATAATATAGTAGTAGTAGTATTCTACTATATGATATACTATATTATGCCTTGAGATACATTTACTCTGAGTAATTAACTGAACCTGAACCTAAAGAATTTTAACCTAATAAATTGTCATTTGGCTGCATTTTATATTTTTACAGTTTGTAATAAAAACCATTAATGGTTTTATTACATCATACTATCGGTATATTTATATACACATATATATATATACTAATATATTATATTAATAGTAGAAAACCAAAAATCAAAACTGGAGCCTCCCCCTTAAATTTTAGTCTTGAATCTGTAAAAAAAAATACGTTTTTCGACTAAACAAATACGTTTTACGAATTGCGAGTATTGTAATTTGTAAACCGACAAGTACTTGTTACTGATAAGTGATAAAACTTTGTGATAAGATAATCCGTTTAAAAGATAAGACTATTGTGATAGTGAAAACTGAAAATTTTAGTCAATAACGATATTCATTCAGTATCCATTTTTTTTTATTTGTGTTTCGTTTGTGTAACATAATATTGTTTTAACGTGCTTTCAACTTGTCGAAGCCGATCAAGTAAATTTCAATCTGTGAACAGATTCATTTTACTATATAAAATAAATAATTGCCATAGAGTGAGTGTTTTGAAAATATAGTGTTCAAAATGACTACATCAAAATTTAGGTAGGTACCTGAAAAAATAACATAGATAAGTCGTTGTTTGTTTATTGTATACATTAAAAATATACAATTTGATTGTTTTTAGTAAGTTCGATGAATTCGGTTTTGAGCGTGCTGAGGATTTTGACTACGATGAATATGAGAAATTTATGTCTGTGTATCTGACGATACTAGCAAAACAAGCCAAAACGTGGTCACGTTTAATGATGTCAAATCGACCCATAAAGAAAACCGCTCGATTAAAACAGTATGTCCGAAAGGGAATACCGTTGTCAATGAGATCTCAGGTAGATAGACTATAATTTTTATTGTAAAATTTCTATGTTCAAAAGTCAATAGAAATATTAATACAAATTATGATGTTTATATTAGTAACAATAAATAGAACCACTTGCATGGTTTACCTAGTGTCAATTATTATTATGGATATAATTACTTTTAGGTATGGTCGATTGTCGGAAACGTGTCAAAGTTAAAAGAGGAATATGGGCAAGATCTTTACAGGCAGATGTTAAAGAAATCAGTAAGTGCCGATATCAAGGAAATCATAACAGTAGATATCCCAAGAACTTTTCCTGAAAACATTTACTTCAATCAGACACCAGAAAATCAGGCAGCTTTGTACAGAATACTCTATGCTTTTGCTGCACATAATCCGTACATAGGTTATTGTCAGGTATGTAAGTTTACTGTACTAACAACGTAACACAAGATCATGTTTATACTCATCATCATGTATTTACGGTTTCTTTCAATCGATAAATAAACACACTACCTATTCCATTCAAATTATATTTTTTTGTTATCGAGAAGACAATTATTGTTTTTAAGAAGGTAACACATTAATCTGTGACTACTTACTATGTTCATTTTCTGTTTTGAAGCTTTAACTGATTATAATCATATTTTAAATCGTTTTAATTTATTCCAATGGTTGTAACCAGTTGAATATTATAGCAAAACTGAGGTTTTTTTATATTTATTACAATAAAAATATTGTAAATATGTTTTACCTACAAATAATAGCGTTGATGTGATTTTTTGCCTTGCTCGTTTACGAGTAGGTTTGCTGATAACAGCAGAATATAATATTTGTAGCTAAAATGTATCATATTTTTATTTTTGTTTCAAGGGTTTAAATTATATAGCCGGACTATTGTTGTTGGTCACCAAAGACGAAGACGCTTCTTTTTGGCTGCTTAGAGTATTGGTGGAAAAAATATTACCAGATTATTACTCAAGAACCATGGACGGTGTTATTATCGACATTGAAGTTTTTTCTCGTCTCGTAAAGTAAGTTTGAATTTAAAATAAAAAATCATTCGTCCTAAAACGCTAATGTTTTCTTAGGAAAAAATACCCGGAAATATCACAACTCATGACTACGGTGGACATGCCTTGGGCATTAATTATTACCAAGTGGTTTATTTGTTTGTTCGCCGAAGTCTTACCGATTGAGGTAAAAGCAACTATTCATGTTATCAATGAAAATAATTTAAATTTTGTGCATTCATTTGATTCGTAGACGGTGTTAAGAATATGGGACTGTTTATTCTACGAAGGGTCTAAAATCATTTTCAGAGTTGGCTTGACGTTGATAAAACATTATAGATCTGAACTCTTAGCTTGTGACGATATAATGTCACTGGTAGAGTGCTTTAAAATGATTGTCCAAAATCCATTTTCATTAAATTGTCATACTTTCATTAAGGTAACAGTCAACTGTTAGTTGGTTAATTGTAAATCAATATTATCAACTTAAACGTTTTTTTTCTTAATGGTTTTAGGAGATGTTTAGCGGTATAGGATCATTGCCCATGTCTTTGATAGAAGATCTACGTAAACAAGTTTCTTCTGAACGAGCAGCCAACAAGACTACTTTTGGAAATAGAAAAGGATAGCCATAATGTTATTACAACATTTTGCAAAATGTATATAAGTATTTTTTATAAAACAAAGATACTCTCTAGTATAACAAACAAACTAAAAAAAGGAGTTCTAGTCATAACAGTCATATTATGTACTGTATAGGAATGGCAGAACAAAATTAATAATTTAAAGATCAAATTTTATTGATAATAAATAACATAATGAAACAAGTTATTATATTTTTAGATAGTATTTGTTGAATTATTATAAATTTTATGTATTTTTTAAATGTATTTTGGCTGTGAGTATTTTTTGTTTTTTTTTTTTGTTTTTGTTATTTATACATAAAATATCAAATCAATTATATGGTATTATAAATATGATTATAACCAGTAAAGTAATCTACAGGACTGATTTTAGAACTTAATTGTTTATCTTCTAATTAAAGTGAGGACGTTTGGTCAACTTTAAAACTAACGACTACATAAATTATAAAAAACAAACAAGTCAAAATAAATAAGTTCTTATTTTAAATATTATAGCTTTTTTATACAAATGTATTTTGTTATTTTAAATTGTCATGTTTGTTCGACATTGTTTGTGATCAAAGAGTTAATCAAATTATAAATAGTACACATATTATTGTAATAAATATAATCACATTTGAAAATGTATTGATTTATTTATTTTTTCATGAATAGTATTAACTAAATTTTTATCTAATAACAACAAGACTTGTCTATATTAATTTTAATTATTTGTAAACCACATGTACAATGTACATATGAGAGGCCTAGAGAATAAAAACGCAAGTTGTACCTCGTAAAACTCCATGGCCGTTTAATTGCTTAGAATTACAACATTTATCTTATTATAAAAGTCAATAGCTTATCCAGAATTACATATTTTACTAAAAAAAAAGAAAGTTAAATAGTTATTAGTTTATTTTAAATGTAATTTGTTAATTTAATCGAGTTATAACCCTTTGAATCCTGTCTCGATTCACGACTGACTATTATCTACATTTTTATAATATGATAATCCTAATTTGAACATTTTTTTCTATACTAAATCATTATGCGAGTATATTTTTTGTAATTATAATTTTAATCATAATACTAGTACGTTAGCGAGTTGACACTTTCCCATTTGTGTTGTAGTATGTTCCTAAGCTCGATGTTTTACCAAATGTTTGGCCAAACCGCAAACGTAGGCTTTGACCTTCGATGTCAGACGTCTACATAAATAATTGTTTCAACTAACGACGAGTCGCGCATGGCGCAACATAAAAAAAAACAAAAATTTTTTTTTTTAAACTTCTTATTTTTTAAATAAGAATAAACCAGTCAAACTTGCGCATGTGTTCCCCCTCGCGTGACCTAATAATATACGACATTATCCCTCGACACATTTGGGTGCACAACGAATGATTTTGATTTTAGGTTCCGGTATAAACCCAAATTAACATCGATGCTACATTGAGGTGGATATAATAGCTGGAAACGGATCAATAATAACGATGGAGCGGCGGGTCGCGTTTTTTATTGTGTTGTTAAGTTCGGTTCGGGACGACATTTGGTCGGCCGACGTGTTGAATGGCGAAATGCGCGTTAAATTGCAAGCGTTGTACAACAATTTAAAGTGCGCTGAAACGGGATACGAAAAAACATATGATTCGGATGGCGGCGACGACTCGACCACGACAAACGACGCTGATGTGGGCACCGAAGACGGTCGATTACTGACGGCCATCGAACAACAGTACACAGACCTCAAGTGCGGTTACATCTACAGCTGTCTTTTGCACATGAAAATGGTCAGAGCTTTTATTCTGAAACACGGCATACACAAGGATGTGGTTTTCGCGTTGTTTTTCGAAAAACAGGTGGCCCTCATGTTGGCCACGTTGTACAATTCGCAAATCCGCAAAAGCGCGGCAGAGTTGTGGTTGCTGTTCGTGTACATGGAGCAACTCCGAGAGCATTTCCGTTCGGACGACCACCGTCGAAACGAGGCCGGACCGGCCGTGACGAAGGTGCACTCCGCACTGGCCGGCCACTTGAGAACGCTAACCAAACGGCATTGCAAGCCGGACAACAAGTTCAATCACCGGCACAGAGGGTCGAGGTTTCACAAGCGGTTCGACATTGCCGAGGGCGACCGTTTCCAAAAACAGTTCTACACCGGCGAACATTTCATCGACATGAACAAGGACATGATCGAAAGGCAAATCGCCTTCAACCATCACAAGCACGGTGTCCGCACGGACGGCAGCGAGCGCATCACAATCCGCACACTGTGCCTGAACGGCGTTATGGTGAACGACTACCGGATGGGCAAGCTGAAACGGATGGCGGTCGGCGTCGGTTTCGGCTCAGACGAGACCAGGATTTTCGACCGGCTCAGGTCCGACTACGAACGGGCCAGGTCCAGTCGGTGGCCGGACGTCCAGATCAAACTGCTGGGACGGGTGCACGCCGATTTCGTCGACTCGCTCACCGTGGTCGTGCTCAGAATAGTATGGAAACACGTGGCCTACATAAGCCGACTGATCGATTTCCAGTGCGTCAGCTTGTCCCTGTGCACGACGTTGTTGGTGTTGCCGTTTCACAACATTAACATCTCCAAGCAGCTGGTCGAGTTTCTGCGATTCTTCGACATAGCCGACGACCAGAGCTTTGATGAGATCGTCGACCTGCTCGGTAGTCCGGTTAGAAACGTGTTCATGAAGAACAACGCCACCCTGATTGCGGACGAGATCAAAAGACTGTTGGAGAAAATGTCTGAAAAATACAAACCCGGTGTCGACATCGCCGAGCCTGTGAGTTTCGACGACGACCCGTCTAAAGATATTGTCATCCAGTACTATAACGAGACTAACGCCATCCAAGTGACTCCGGCCAAGAACGACCTGAGCTATTGGTTTAACGTTAGCGTCACGAGAGTAGAATATTTTGTAGAATATGTTATCTGGATTTTGCGCGGTATCGACTTTAAAATAATTAATTATTTTATTTCGGTGTCCAACGAATTACAGCTTATGCCTAACAACGCCGACAACGATTTACCGAAGTCTTCTGAGCAAAAAAATTAAGTAAACCGGAATGTTTGTATGTGATCCAAAATCGTTTGTAAAAACTTTTTTAAATGTCTTTCTTTACCCAGGTCTCCATATTATCTCCTTTTCCAGTCATAACCTCCTTCTCGCTCATGCATTCACCTTAATGAAACCTTTTTTTAATTTCAATCACATTCTTTTAGATCGTTCTATTCTAATAGAAAAAGTTTACTTTCCCATCAAAGTGCTCTCAGCTATTCCTCCCTTGAACCCTCTCTTCTTTTAAATTCCGTTGTAAAGTTGTCCTTCCGTTATCATCCTCTCAATATCCTTCTTTATTACAACTGGTTTTCTCATTTTTTACATGTAATAGTTATACTTCAAGCTTCGTTTTATTTTTAATTTCTCCTATTGTGTTTATATAACTAATCATAATAATTGTCGTGCTGTAGTATTTTTTTCTAAAAAAAAAAATTAAAAAAGGTATCCTATGTAGTCAAAATTTTGTAGTCGACATTTTGTCTGGCTTTTTGGTCTGAAACGTCAAAAACAGACCACATGCAATCCCCTTAATTACCTGATCTAGATCCACAGCAGAGGTTTGCTATATAATCTATACATCATCACTAATTCATCGAATAATTCGTATTCAAAGCGGCAATAGAAAAAAAATGTTTTTTTTTTTGTTAGGTAAAGCAAACACAGTATGCTGTGTCATAAATATGATAATAAATTAATATAAGTACACATCACTGTATGTAAAAAAGAATTCTTTACTAATGTGTTACTCAAAATATGAAATAAAAATTTGTTACACTATGTGTTTATGTATTTTTAATTTAAGCTCAAGAGAAAAACGCCGATTACTTAAAAATCGATCAAGAACGCCAGGACATGTGAATGAAACATGAAACATTTGAAGGTCGTCTACCAGTTAACGAAGGAGTTAGTAGATCAGCTGATATTCCTGTACCCGATATTCAGAAACCTTATGGCTTTGAAAAAGCTTGAGAATTATTTAGTAGTGTGATGCATTATTTAAAAATAACAATCAAAGTTAGTTTTTATCTATTATTTTTTACTTCACCTTTGTGATATTATTCTAGTATAAAGACAACAAAATATAATACATTTTAACTTGCAATTTTTTAATAAAACTTCTTGTCATAGTAACTTTTAAGATAACAGCACTAATACATTATACAAATATTTTACATTTAAATAACTTATGAGTGATATGCGTGTTTTTCTATTTTAAAAATGATTACCAATTAATGTATTAAGTTTATACGATTTTTGAATAATCTAAAATATGTAGTAAACATATTTGAAAATATTCAAAACGCCTAATGGCTAATATTAAATTATGATGAATCAAGTAGATTTAAAATGTAGTATATTTCAACCCAACTAAAGAGTTTATTCTGAAAATATAGTTATGATAATTTTAGGAATACATTATTATTGAAAATGATTTTTAATTTGAACACAAACATATTGCTAGCAATTCGATGGTTTTATAAAAAAAAAAGCACACAAACAAACGCGTACATTTCGCATGTTTTATTTACATTCAAAGTATGAGTCCTCTGACGCAAGAGCCGCATAAGTGTACACCTGTTTAAGCTTTGGGAATCTGTTATGATCCTACTTAAAGAACACATTTTTTCCTTCGAAAATGTACGCCGTCTTAAGAGATATTATTTCGAGTAGGGTCTTGCTGCTGTGAATATGTTAATGTGTAAATTATTATTTTCGGTTTTGGGCTTATGGGTCTTCTTATCTAAGAGGGTGTCCGGCGGCGACAGGTTCGGCATAAAACGATTCACGTTGAACGATATGTACTGGCATGCGCTACACATCAAGACGGGTTATGAAAAGTCTAACCCGGCCGGTGAGCTGACGACGCCCGCTTCCGGGGACATAATGACCAGAGGTGTGTATTTTCAGCTCAACAACCTGACATGCGGTTACGTATTTAGCGCCCATTTGCATTTGCATTTGACCAGAACGGAGATAGAGAAAACCCAACAGCTCAAGGATTATCCTATGGAGTTTCTCGAGGAATTGTCGTTCAGGAAACAAGCCAAGTTGATGTTGACCACCATGTACAACATGAACATAGATCAGGGAATGCAAGAGCTGTGGTTGGTTTTTGTTTACATGCAAGAGTTGGAGGAATACGTGCAATCTGTTCGTTACAAACGAGATGCAGATGATTCCATCGGCGAGGACATGGCAAGGATACACGACGCGATAATGGGACGTCTCACCGAGTATGTGGCGGACCATTGTACACTCGAAAACGCGTTTAACTATAAGTTTAAGGGTTCGTTGTTCCATAGGCGAGATAATATTGAAGATAACAAAAAGGAATTTCGTTTAATCGACAACTGGGTAAGTCTGAACAAAGATATGATCGAAGATCAAATACACTTCAATCAAAAGTTCGAAATACTTACTATGGGCACGAAGCACTTTTCATACAAGCGATTGTCTTTGAACGGCATCACGTCTGTCAAACACGGTTATTTGAAAACCCTACGGGATAAGATCGTAGTAGGGCTAGACTGGCAGAACGCTTTTGCCGATATAACCGTCCATTTCAACAAGGCCTGGACGGAGCGGTGGCCCGACCAGCGGATCTATCACCTCGTTAAGTTTCAGAAAGACTTGGTGTCTGTGCTCAAAGTGTTCATGTTGCGAATTCTATCGATACACGCTTTGTACATAAGCGATACGCACAATTCTCCAGAATCTTTTTTAAAGAACTATTTTCGATTCATCACAAAGTTGTACGTGGCGCGCACGTACAACAAACAAGTATCGAAATACCTGACCGAATTCATGAACTATTTCTACTTGACGGAGGACGATGGTTTCAAAAAGATCAACTACTTACTCGGCAGCATACTCAAAAATGTTTCCCCGACGTACAACTCAACGTTGGTCGTCGAAGAAATCCAAAAAACGTTAAAAGCCATATCGGCCGAGTTCGGCTATTGCGACGTTACGGTTCCGGTGGAGTTCGATAAACAACAACTGAACGATCCCATTGTCCAAATGTACAACACAAACAATAACGTCGACACGAGTCAACCGATCGATGATTTATCCTACTGGATGATCGTCAGCAGCAAAAGAGTAAAGCTATTCGTGAAGAGCATATTATGGATGTTGCGCGATGTCGACTTCGGAGTAATCGGTTCGTTCATCATAGCAACCCAAGAGTTGAAACCGCTAAAGAAAGGTAGCCATTCGTCCGAAAACGAAAACATTTAGAAACAAGTTTGAAAATTTATGAAAATAATTAATAATGTAAATTTTAATTTATATTACATAAATATTGATAATTTAAATATTACATTTTTGTTTTCAAATGCCTAGCACAATAATAGCAAGTTTTCCAATAGTACCTTACTCAGGTCTTTACCTAAATAGTTGTTGTGTGTAAAAGTTTTGAAATAAACATGTCTTAATATGGTAAGTCGGTTTATTGATCGTGAACAATTATTGATCGTCAGGGCATTTTACCGCTTACCGCTTGTCGATTGCACGCGCACTGATGAAGATCACGTATAAGTCAATAGATGATTAATGAAACAATTGACAACTGAACATTACGAAAATAGGTTTTTTTTAATACATTTGTAACATGTTCAAAGTTTATAGCTAAAACAAAAATATGTTGAGAACTCCATTTATAAATACTAATATAAAACTAGGCTAAGAATGATGCAATACGAAAGTAAGCTTGGCAACGAATAAGAAAAATAATATGAATATAGTGAACATATTTTTTTAAATAAAAACATGAGCAATTAAGTTTAGTTAACCTTTTAAGAACATGTGTTTTCAATTAAAATAATACCAGTACATATAGCGTCTTAAAAACTTTACGTGTTTAAAATTGTATTTGAGTTTTGTAAAGCGCAATTAGTATACTAGCCGAACGACAGGTTATACTCAAAGACCAATGTGGATTGGTTTTCTTAATTTTTAATTGTGCACATCGAAATACCATAACATAATTGTATTTAAACATACAATTTAAAATCGTTGCTATCTTATGTACACGATGGTGTATTACACACAACAATTTATTTTTATACAATATTAAAGTCAACGCAAATACCATAAATTAAAAATACAAATATGATGGGTTAAGCGTGTTAAACTGTTCTCTCACTTTAAAATGTTCACGCTGAACACGATTTGTGTCAATACACCTGCGAAAATGTTTGCACTAAATTGCACAAAGTTAATATTTTGGGTAATTTTTGATCTCATGAACTAAAATAATTCCAACGTCATGACGATAAATGGTAATTAATGATTTAATATTGATACATTTATTATAAATCTATCAATGCATTTACTTACACCAAAGTGTATACTGTATAGTAATTACATTGATTGTTACTATCAATAGTGATAAACACACAGCGTTCCAGGGATCGGCTTCAACTTTGTTGACGTGTGTTTATTACAAAAAACGATATGTTTGCGGTTTCTTAGCGCAGATTTAGATGTTAATTTGCCTTTTGAAAAACTATTGTGTTACATAAGATACGTTCTTGTATTAAAATAAAACCGAAATCGGGTACAATTAAACCTAACCAACCCGGTTAACGAACTCGTTGGTTTAAACTTGAACAATGACATTATTGTGTGCGCCTTTAGCGTTTGAAAATGACCAGAGAAGCCTTTGAGGACCGCTGCGACCTAATTAGGGCACGGATGTATCACAGATTGTCTTTCGGAACACAAACAAAACTAATAATGGCGACAGTGTTCAATATTAAACGATCACATAATCACATGGCGATTTCTGAATGATTTACAAAGAAATTCTACAAGAACACTTGCATCTATTTATGTATTATGAAGTGCATCTACACGAATGATTAATGACAAACAAAACATATCGTACAATAATTACTGTACTTGTCGGGTATAATGTTCAGGGTACAATTAATTTTTACCTTTATAAAATACATTTTAGATACGTCACTGTCTACTATTATAATATACGTTAAAATTATTAATAAGCAATACTTGAGTTTGGTTTAATTCTTCGGATTTAGCCGAGTCTCAAATGGAGACATTTTTTGCATACTAATAAGATTCAGTTATGAAGAAAAAAATGTATACAATTTTTTTTTTTAAGCACCCCATTGTTTGTTAAAATGAGATATATTTTTTTCTTTTTTCCCAAGCCTTTTTTTTTTTGAATATTATTAATTCCTAGTCAGAAGTCGCAGTGCTGTGGTACCTAGTCACGATCATATTGGTTTGAACCCTATATTTTGTATTTTTTGTATTTAGTAAACTTCTGATGAATAATAATGAATATCGTTAAACCACTGCGGGAGATGTGTTATACATATATTTTACGCCTATGACTCGATGCAAATAAATATATGATGATGTAATATAAAACAATACCATAATATATTACCTAAATTAAACACCACATATTATGGAATACCTATGCCTTTAACTTCCACATGACGCACAATCATGTATCTAAGCCCAGTCTTTGTTTTATTTATTTGATCCATATATTACCTAAATTAAACACTACATATTATGTGATATACCTTTAACTTTCACATGACGCACAGCTATGTACCCAAGACCAGATTTTGTTTTATTTATTTGATAATTTTGTACAAACATATTTTAAACAATGTTTACTCGTACATATTTGCAATATTTAACGACGTGTTATTATCAAGTAAATCTTAACTAATAAATTAGTTAACTATTAGGCACAAGCTTCCGATAGCGTTCTGAGGCTAAAATATAATGATTAAGGTATTTTTCGTAAACAAATTTAGTACTAATCGTACAGATGTAACTTTTACATTATTAATTATCGCACACGAATTTAACAACACAGAGAAACCTACCATAGTTGTTAACCTAACGTTTCTTTTTTTAGAGTCGTTTAGAATCCAATTTCTTGTCGGTTCCATATTCAGCTATAATGGTTAACATTACGAGACTTCAAATATAACCTATAACTTTACTTTTGGTTTTGTCGACTCGCCGGGATAATAATCCTTATGTATACATTGGGCTCGTTTTATTGTGGAGATTATAGACTATAGTATTATGCGATATCCTATCCCGGATTGTACTTAGACGAGCAACGGTAATTCGCGAATATTATGAGGTCTACAGTGTTCGCCTTGTAACGATTACTAGTTAATTCCCAGCAAACCCGTACAGTCACGAACCGCTTTTTTTCTCTACCGTCCCTTTTGTTCTTCGAAACGATCACTCCTCCGTCGGCGTTAAATACTATTTTTTTTCTTCGTTATTTCTCATTCGAATAATAATTATATATACTCTTTTTTTTTTATTATTATTATTATTATACCGACCGAAACCGCTTTTGGCTTCACGTATTTTTTATTTTTTTTTATCCGTCTAACTCTTCTTCCGAAACTATTTTTTTTTCCTTCTTCGCGTACACTTCCAGTCCGGTTTCTCGCCGTCGTTCCCCACCCCGTTAGCCGGTCGTCCCGGATTCTTCTTTTATATTCTACGCCGTGCCGCTTTCTTGTGCGTACACGACAAACACACGGCCGAAACGACGAACGTCGGACGAGGAAAAGGTCGCGGTGGAGAGATGGAAAAAAAAACACTTTTCATTGTGTTTCGGCGGTTACCCCTTGGCCGGAGTTTTTCCTCGGTGCCCGGCAGCTGTCCCGGATCGCAGGCCAAGAGAGATGGCGTTGTGTATTTTTTTTTCTACTTCTTAACGTTCAACCATGCGCCCTCCTTTCCCGCTCGTTCCCCGTTCTTCCCGGTTCGTCTTAAACGACCGGCCGTACGCGTCTCGTCGAGATTCTGGCCGTTAGATGGCGGCACATGCGGCAGCGGCGGTGGAGACCTTACCGAGACGGCCGTGACCGCGCTTCCGAGTTTTCCCCCTAGAAGGGAGTCGCCATGCGGCAATCGTGACGGTGGCATTACCATCGCAAGGCAAACGCCCGATATTCGCAAATAATAATAATTTATAGCAGTTTAAGATTTGATTTGAATTTTTTATATTTTTTTTATATTTACTAATTTTGGTTCGCTTTTCGTTTTAGTAATGTGACGTGTTTTAGATTGTCTTACGGAGCAAAACAGTGTACAATATTTTGTGTTATTGTTTATATATTATAATAAAATTGAATTTCCGCGCTTACCGTTTTATTGTTAGGGCGCTTTTGTAATTTTTATATGGAAGCCAACGACAGCAGTGAAGTTCGGTCTACCGGTACCCCGCCTTCCAACGGTGGTAACAACTGTTGCGGCACGTCCGTTGCGGTCAGGACGTCCGAACCGTCGCCTTCCGGTTCGAAAATCCTTAGCAAGAACTCGAACGGCACGAGTAAGTGTTTTCAGTGTGATATTTTTTCCAAAACCACTGTCGAGTATGATTTACTATAAGAAAAAAAAGACTAGTCAAACATTTTTTGAACAACCACTGCTGGCCAGCTAACAAAATTAACGGCTATCATTTGCTGTTTTTTTACCGTTCTAGTCTATGTAGTCCACGTCTCGGGTTGTACGTTTTATGGTATTCGATATAAAATAGTTTTCCAACGTCCCGCAAATCGTAAAGGAAAATATTGACCGTTTTTAAATACCGCAATTCATCTAATACGATCTGGAAACAATAGCCGTTATTTTTCTTTCAAATAACGTTGTCGTTAACTAGATAAAACCTTTATAAATAAACAAGGTCTCTTCTATTGAGTTAGTTTCACCGTTTATTATAACGGAATAATATAGCAGTTGTTTTTTAAAGTTTTTACTATAATATATAAAATTCCGGCGACAGACTAAGGACTCGCCCCAGACAGCGAATTTCTTCTAGAAACCATCTTCTCATTATGGTAGCGTCGAGCCTTAAAGGACTGTTAAGCTGATGATGCGATGACGATGATGAATATATAAAATAAAAAGCATTAAATACTTTATGATCATGAATAAAATATGTGGCGATAGTATGTTGTAACTTGTGGTGTATACACGCACAGTAATAATTGTTACTAATAAAATTATAAACAATCGCATGATGATCGGTTTGCTTGTTTTTCGATTTGCCAAGTTAAACTAACTACAATTAAATAAGAAAAAGAGCTACAAAAATAATAAAACTATGTAGTAGTATTGGATAAAATCTTGAAATGTCGAAGTAGTTATTCCATTAACGTGCTTGGCATTTGTTATCGATCAAATACATAATATTATGTCGATGGTCTAGTCTTGAAACGCACTGTGAAAGAAAATGTGGGAAAAGGACATTGTATAGGCACATTATTTGTGTAACAATATAAATTGAATAGCGTTCGGTAATAGTAAAAAAATGGCGGTTTTTTCGATATCATAACAAACGTTTTATTAATATATTTTATTAGTTTGTAAATGAATTGTATTATGCGAATATTATGAGGTTTACGAATTTGGTTGGGTTAGTTATAGGTTAGTTAGTATAGATTATATGCTAATCGACAACACACTGTTTATGTACTATTTTCTTTCTTTAATGAGTATTAGGAAGTTTTTATGCCGTTAATAATAAAAAAAAAAAATAGCTAATAACTATTGCTTTTTTTTTGTTTACTAAGTCGTCTTCATTTTTATAATCTATGAACATATAAAAAATGTTTTTTATACATGTTATACCATTTAATCTTGGACGATAAATCAAACACGGGCTGTGTGTTGTTGATAATTCTTAACATCTTTGGATAAGAGAATTGGCCGACGAACAGTTATGTGATCGACAAGCTGATTGGGTGCTTAATTTTTATTATTTTTGTTTTTTTGTTTTTAACTAGTACTTACATATTGTAATGTAATTATGATTGCGGTAACGAAACGAATCGATTTCTCCCTTAAACTATTTTTTTTTACTTATTTCCGTTACGTTCTTATCCACAGCGATTTACATTCGGTTATGCGCGTCGACTTATTTGTTTCTCCATTTTTTTTTTTTAAGTACACTCAAATTATCTTTCGAATATGTAACACAATGATAATACGAAGACCGGTAAAAAAAAAATAGTAATAATAAAAAAACCTCACTATTTCGACCAGTAAATAGGACGGCAAGTAATTTTTTCATTTTTTCCTCTTCCTTTAATGTTTTTTTTCTCTGACCGATTTATCTGATGATATGCCTCGGAGCGTAGAGGTTGATTCGAATACATGTATGTATAATATATATATTTTTTTCTTATACTTTTTTTTCTTTTGCCTTAACGTTCTTTCTTGTTGCTCCGCTTTTCTTCTAAGTATTTTTATGCATCAGTCGCCGTCGTCACGAAAAGAAAAAGCCAAATGCTCGTAATTTAAAGTTAATTCCAACGACGGGAAATATTTCTTTTGTACCTAATGTATGTAAGAATATATATATATATAAATATTATTTATGAAAAATGTAAACCCGCCAGTTTTTCTCCGACGATTTTTTTTTATTTTTTAAAGCTGGAATATAATTTTTTATTGCGACCCATTTCCGTAGAACCGTTACCGCCCCATAAAAAGCACAGAGTAGGGGACGATTTTCGTTTTAGATTTTTCCCTTTTATCGACTACAAAATATAAAAATTATTCGCATTTTTTTTTGTAACAAAATATAATATATTTTTAAAACTACGTCGAAAACTGGCAACGCGTTGCTGTTGTCATTTAAAATAATTTTAACCGACTCCGCAACGAACGAATTTTTTAATTATTTTCCCCGAAAGTTTTCTACGGTTTTTGTATAACGTTTGTAGCAAAAAAAAACACACCTTTTGACTGTTTATATTAATAAACACTATGTACACATAATAATAATATTAAATGTTATAGTTTTTTTTTTAAATCGAAATGCAAGCAAGTTGCTCGTTAAATTAGTACAGAATATTATACTATAATAAATTTATGATAACTATCTGTCAGCTTCGATGGGGAGCTGAGGTGCTTTAACAATGATGTGTTTTTAATTTTTAATTTTTATGTTAAATACGAATCAACTAATTCAAAGCAAATCATACACATCCTATTTGTTTTACGTTATTGGGATTGTAATTAAAATTTTATTAGATAAATAAAAAAACCGGTGTTATTATAATATTATTATTACGTTCAGAATGCACAGCTATTAATTATTAATAAAGGATTAAAACAAAAACTAAATTTAAAATTTAACAGTAATAATAGTTAATAATATTGTTTTAAAAAGATTTTTCTGTCGTTTGCTAAATTTAATCGATTAAATTTATTTTACAGAAATTGTATTTTATTTTCGGTAGTTATTTAATTTTACTAGTATTTGATTTTGCTCTCGTTAGTTTAATTTAGCTATTTTTGTTTTTTTAAACATTTTTATTATTTTTGGTTTTAGAGTTTTTTCATGACAACTATTTTTTTTATAGTTAGATATACCTTGTAGAACATTTTCCATAAGTTTTATTACCTACTTTCTGATACTAAAGAACCTAAGTACATAACAAATAGCCGAGCTGCAGTCAACAACCGGTGTTAATTGCTAAAGAGCGGTTATAGTCAACTTGACTGTACGGTATGGTTTAAACAAAGTTAAGTCGTGGTCAAACACCAAACCTAACTTCCGCACTGGAGAAGAGTGTCCCTAATGCATTGGAACGTTTAATATTTACTAACTATTCACTACAAAGTTATATAATATGATAGTATTAATTGTAATAAGCCTTAGTGACTATATTATTGTTTCCAAAGGTATGCTAGTTTAGGTAAGTGTTATTTTCAGTTGATCTCGCCCATTGTCAAATTATACATAATACAACAGCTATAGAATATTGCATGCAAAACATACCATTTATTTTAATAATAGTTTTAATAATATACTATTATTGAAAGAAATATGTTTACGTCAAAATAAGAGTCTGGTATTTTTTCCATTGTAATCGGTTATGCGAAATAAAAACAAAACACGTTTGAGATGATATGCGACTAGAAAACCGCCTAAAGCCAGTATACCCGAGAACTTTGTCTGACCTACTTTCTTCCTCTCCGTAGTCGTAGTCCTGTCGTCAGGAGGTGTTATTAGGTATTTTCGTACTATAAAAGAAATCGAAACCCACGACGAGATTCGCCTACGGCACCGAAGCTCTACAAAAGTCTCCTGTCGATCATCACCGTTAGATGAGAATGCCTTCGGAAAAAAATCTGTAAACAAGTAGATGCGATAGTGACTTCAACCCTACTCAATCGCATTATATCCAAAATATTCATTATCTACTATTAGTATTCGGTATACTCAGTGTTTGGGAAAAAAGTGTTCTATAGATAAGTTCAACAATTTGCCCTTGAGCCAATTATAATGTTATTGATTACAGCGTTTTCAATGAAATCTGCGTATGCCACCATTTTTATTTTATAATACTACTATAGCCGCAATAAATTCATAACAAAAATATTACAATTTACACTGCGCCGTTTTTGTTGGATTTAATGTCAACACTATTATAATCAACATAATTTTATCCGTGAATAGTAATTAGAGTTTTAACACATTTTCGCTTAACAATTTCGTTCAAACTTTTCATTTACTTTTTTGTAACTATGTGTGTTTTTCATGTTTGTACAATATAATGCCCTAAGTTTTGTTTTCAAACTACAATTGGCAGCCCAACGTTTTCATCAGAAATTATTGATCGTTTTCAAACCTTTTTTATTCCCAAAAAGTAAAAACCAATCATCACATCCAAACTATAAAGAGCGATTGCTTCGGTATTGAATTAGTTTTTACTGCTTGTTTTTTAAATTAAATTAAATAAATTATATTTATTATGTTGATAAATGATAACTATTTTATTAGAAAACAATAAAAACATTTCTATCATTTGTATAAAATTGCAAGTCCTAATCAATAGTAAGTAAAAAAAGTTGAGAGAAATTAAAAAAAAACACAACCTTTATTTCATTTTTTATTCTTCTTTAGTCTTCAACCTTTTTCAAATATTTTTATGAAAGATGATCTCTTTAAATATTTATTCTTGCAGTGTTGAAAGTTTATAGAATTTTTAAGAGATTGATACCTTATATTTTGTTATTACATGATCTATAATAAGGGAAAACAAGTAAAATAAATTTGTTTTATTAAATTAATAAATGAAAACTCATTTAATCGATAATTTCTATAACCTTACATCTAACTTAAAAAAATTAAATTAGCATACAAAAGTCGTATTATTCACACGAGAGTTTTAAGTCTTCAATGGAAAACTCAATATTATGTTCTATACCATATATATTTAAAGATTTTTTTTTATAAATTTTTTGTTGCTTTTATTTACTAAATTTGTTTAAAAAACAAATAAAACTGTTTTTAAACATGCTGTTCGACCCTAAAAA